CTGAGATTGATTTTGCAAATAAACTCATTCGTGATAGCTTCGCTACAAAGTGTAAACCGAGTGTAAATTCACTGGAGAGCGACGTGTTTCCATGATCGCATCTGGTTTTACAGTATTATAGTATCAAAGTCTTTTTCTAGACAAAGTATTCCCAGCAGGTTATTTCAGTGTACATTATAAGGTAAACGGTCTTCCACACGGCACATTACAATATCACGAAACTAATATTAAATTCATCGAGTCTGCTGTTTTCCAGCTTTTACTCTTTATCGCGTCGACTGCAGATCAGTGACAAGTAGCGTACAGAACGGAGCTGGGCAAGTGGCTCCTCCTACTTTGCGCGCTCCCGTGAATGGGGAAACAATTTTTGACGGGGGTAACTACTTTGGCACAACACCGGCCCAGCCAGAGAATCCCCGCCCTCTCCTCCCTGTGCAAGCAGCAGGCGCGCCTCGCAAACGGAGGGCGCCCTTACTCCCAGCAAATGGGCGATAGAAAACCAATCGGTGCCTATGCCATTCCCAATATCCGCTGGCTGATGTCGGGGCAGCATGAGTATGAGCAATTTTTTTTTTTGGCCGATGCCCGTGATGCTGCCCCCCACCACGATGCCGCCCCGGGCAACCGCCTGTGTGGCCTGTATCAAAAACAGCTACTGACTGGAAAACTTTAATCTCCTCTCTTATCTAGTAATTACTAAGTTCACATTTCCATTTCAAAGCAACAGTATATTTCACTGACTTTTACATAAGGTTTTTTTTTTTTAAATAGCTGTGGGTACATTTTTAACTAACATGAACCAAGAGGAAGCAGCGTTCACACAAAGCATCGGTCATACGAAAGCTAGGCTAACACTAGCTAGCTAGCAAGGTCAAAACCTGGTGCTAAACTGCGAGAAAGCACAAAAAAAGCTTGCACAAGAGTAAACATTTACTCACCAAATCAGTCATCAGTGTATCACAGCGACGCCAAAAATAACCACTTAAGCTGAATCTTCTCCAGCTGCTCCTAAGTTTGCTCAGCATATTCCAGAAACACCCGTGCAGGCCATGAACGTCTTTGCGAGAGAGGAGGAAAGTAGAGACATGGCATTTTCAAACCATATCCTTCTACTGAAAGGAGACTGTCTTTTGTCTGTTTCTCTGTTAAGTCATGCTTTACTGTTAATGAAAAAGACCACTTAATATGGTTTTATTTAAAATTGCTGTGCTGCAGCTTTTAGAGGCATTCCTACCCCAGCACAGCTGAATGAAATGTTGAATTACCTCTTCAGCATGCCATCAAGGCCTGGTAAAAAGCCATTCATTTAATTCAGGTGTGTCGGAACAAGGATGCATCTAAAAGCTGCAGGACAATAGCTCTTGAGGACAAGAGTTGGAGACCCCTGGTATGACCTCAGATGCACGCTCTCAATCTAGTTCTTTGTTTTTGTCTAAAAATAAAAAACAAAAAACACACACAAGAAAAGGGCAACGAGAAAAAGCAAATAAAATTTTTTACTATTTAATAATTTTAGTTGTATTTACAAATAAGTAACCCAGCTGTGTATGTTTTATATACAAAACAGATATATATATATATATATATTAATATATTATATATATATATATATATAATATAATCGAGAAAATAATAAACTGTCAGATAATGAAATAAAATATAGCAACGCGGCAATAGAGAGAAACATAAAAGGAAAGCCAAAGGCTCAACATGTGAGCTGCAGCCTATTTTAAGTACGGAATAGAGTAAATGTTACATTCCACCACTAAAAAGCAAAATTTCCAGTTTACTTGAGTTGATCAGATTTTTGAATGAAATTACTAACTTAACTAAACCGAATGTTAATAACAAGGTGATAAAAACTGAGTTCGTTCAATTTAATTTTTAAGTGAGCACAATATTAGGTTTTACAGTGCAGTTTACCACAAATGTTTCCAGAGTAAGCGAGTTATGATGTGTGTGTATCCAAAATGTTCACTATTTGGCCTCACTAATACTAGTACACATTAAAAGACAACTGAAAGTACTAGAATCAGGATATTTATAGGTTTAGGGTTTTCAATGTTCTTTTTGGATCCCTCTTTAAATGTCTACTTAATGTAAGTAACGTTTTATTTTGAAAGAGCATCACCGGAAACTCTTCTTGTCCACAGTTCTGACAGTGACAGGTAAACAGTGGGAGGAACCTGCTTAACGGGAGTTTCGCCTGCAACCCCAGTTATCCGTGTTCAACTTTTTTTTTCCCACGCACAGTGACTGACCACGGCAACCCAGCGGGCACGTTACGTAAGCGTGCGGCGTCAACAGGCATTTAAACAGCGAGGCTGCGAAGCTCCAAGCTGGAGAACTTTTCCTCTGCTTCTTACGCCAAGGAGACCAGCGTGTCTTCATCCACACTCTGCACAGTTACTACCACCCGGGCATGTCTTCTTACAACAACACGGCGCGCTTCAGCGAGGCGAGGAGAGTGGCGATTTTCGGAGGGACACACGGAAACGAGATGTCAGGCGTGACGCTCGTTAACCTGTGGACGAAGAACGGCACCGAAATACAGAGGAAGGGAGTCGAGGCCGTACCTTTTATCACCAATCCCAAGGCTGTGGAGAAGTGCACCAGATATGTAGACACGGATCTGAACCGAGCCTTCACCCCAGAAAACCTAAGGTAGGTACGCCTCTGGAGTCTCTGTTGAACTACATGTTGAATGGTAACTTCCTGCTGGCGTGTAAGAGATGTAACGTCAGGATTTACTGGCTTTATTTTGAACTGGGTCAGCTAAAGAAAGGGCACCCACGCATACTAGATGTTTGTCTTAATTAATCGCAACCAAGCAGTGGAAGATGTCCCTACAGTCCGTGGAAAAATGTAATGACTGCACAATTATGCAATATTATTGGCATAGCCGTTTGCATGTGTGCGCTGTACCGGACAAATGAGTCAACGTAACACAACGCGACATATCAATGTATCCGTAAGAAAGAAAAGGGGCTGCACATGTCTTTAAAATATGATCCATCACGTGGACTTTGCCATCAAAGCTTTACTATGACAGGTAAGCTGGGACGTGTGTGTTTACCATCGGTGGCGTCTCCCCCTCCGTGCCCCCCTCTGCCAATAAGAGCAGAGCAGCAAGTCCCCTCCTCCCGAACTTCAGCTGACTGTCGGCCTGCAGGAAAAACGTGAGCGGAACGTGACCGAGCTGCAAATGATTGAAGACGTTTTTTAGTTTGTTTGTTTGTTCTTTTTCATGTGCACTACACCGTAAAACGAAGTCTTACACAAACGCTGGCCCTTGTGATCCCTTGTGTCTGTTCGTGCACACAGCCCATTTAGAAATGTGGTTGGATAACAGCATCTATTCATTAATCATACAAAGTGTTATTATGGTGTGCATTTTCCCTGTCATCTGTATGCATTTACTGAAGTACAGTTTTAAAATTATTGCTGCATAACATTTTCCTAAAATTCTCATTGAAAAATATCCTTGATCATTTGTAATAGCCTTTTTAATGGAGTGCAGCTAGCACCATATCACTTAAGTGAATTGAGCGCTTCCCGCTTCACATATACAGAGGTGACACATAATTTCTTAGCAGTGAAGCTGAAGTGATGCCCAGAGCTCAAACCGAATGAGTGAAGCATTCTGGCCTCATCGTACAAGCATTAGTTGACACTTTAAGATCTTCTTCAGCGCTCTCCAGCATGTTCACTATTTGGCCTCTCTGAAGGCAACATATAAGAAGATTAAACAGTTGGAGACTCTTTCCAAAAACAGCTCATCATGATGTCATTCCCCCCCCCACCCCCACCCCCCCACCCCCCTTGTATAGAATGACATCTCCGCTCTTCCCTCAAAATTAGCACCCGCTTGACCCCTTCAGATGAATGTTGGGAGTCCACTTCATCAGCTGCTGCTTACACTGTGCTTGTGTGCTTATATACCGGACAGTCTCTGAAAACAGGGCGTAAATGACAGATGTGAGGGAGGCAAAACAACACAGACAGTAGAGGTGCTATTCTGCTATAGCGTGGAGAATGACCTAGACTGGTTGGTGTTTTGAAATGCTTTAAAAGAGCGTGAAAGTGGGCAGCACTCGTCCTCTGGTCAGAGCAAGGCCCGGGGGCAAAATACACTTTGGAAAGATCCTAAGACTTGGAGTTAATGAATACAGTTTCTTCTTAACTTTGACAGAAGGAGGCCACTGGCCTACTGAATGCAGCTATTGCTTCCCAGCATTGACTCCATGGCTGCCAATACTTTAACCATGAAGTTCTGCATGTGGAGTTTAACCCCGACATACTGGCCTTTTCCCTTTTAGCCAACCGTTAGGTTAAAGTGTATGTAGGACACTCTTGTGTAAATAATTAACATGATTCATTGTTCTTTGAGCTGACTTGTGTGATGGTATGTGAATAGTTAGGCTTGTGGCAGCTCTATAATGCTTTATGTGTTTGCACACACCCTGCAGTGCCCCAGGTGGAAACGACCTGCCCTATGAGGTGCTGAGAGCCCAGGAGATCAACAGGATATTTGGTCCCAAAGGAAGCCCGGAGGCCTACGATGTCATCTTTGACCTTCACAACACGACATCCAACATGGGCTGCACTCTGATTCTGGAAAGCTCCAAAGACCACTTCAATCTGCAGATGATGAACTACATAAAGGTGGCGGCCTTGAGAATACAAACAAACATATACACTGTAGGGACTTTTTTATGAGAAGAGCTATCACACCCTAAAATCTGACCACCCCTCTGACCAGTTTACACAAACAGTGGTGAAGCCTGTTGGGGCGCTACACTTATGCTCACAGAACTGTAGTTACATCCAGTAACTTCTAGTATTTGAGAGGAGCTTTTGTGGAACCTTTTCTCTACAACCGTTGAGACATTTTAACCACGTACTTCAACTGTAATGACCGGCAAGCTTAATCAGTGATGAAAAGAGTAGTTTGGCAAGATTTGCAGTTTGTTAAAAATCGACTGATGGTTAACATGGAAAAAAAAAGAGTACTGAGACCTAAAGGAGATAAAACAATCACTGTCATCAAGTGCTGCCATTATATTTGCAGAAAGTCCAAATTATATATCATTATTCAGCAGGCATCATTGCGACTGTATAATATTACTGCATGATTGTTCCACTCATAGTCTGTGCTGCACACTGTGCAGTATGTGGAGAAACACGAGATGTAGCTCAACTTCTCAACCTGTGTCGTTCTCTGACCTCCGTCTGAGGCTGATCTGTTTGCTGAGCTTTAGTTGAGATAGTTGAGAGATGTAAATCCATCCATGTTAGGCTCATGCAAATACCCCAGAAGGATTCTTGTTGTCTTTGTACTCTCAGCCAAATTCCCAGATGAGCCTTAGGAGATAATATAAACCATTAGATGTTCAGTGTCTCTCTTACAAGATGGATTTTATCTGACAGCATTAAGTAAAGTAAGTACAGATGAACTGGGCTATAATTACATTGTTGAGAATAAAATAAAAAGAACTAAATGCTTATTTTTTTATTCCTGCCCTTTTTAGTGGGCCTCCCAAGGGACAAGTGGAGGAGATGCCAGATGTTCAATCCAAGCAAAACCAACTAAAACAAAAACACATGCGATGAAAGCTATTTAATAGTGATGACTAAGGAGAGCAACAAAACAAACAGGGCTCTAATTGATTGTGGATTTAACACAAAAAAAGGGTAAAGTCACTGTTTTGAGAGCACTGCAGCAGTGTATACATTTATTTTTGTCCTTGGAACCTTTCAATCTGAAAGAGAATATCGTTAGTCAACACTTTGTAATAATTATCTAACAACACCCAACTTTCTCTGGTGTAACCAAAAGTTACAATTCTGCCACTAAAACATAACCTTAATTCAAGCAATTCTTCTTTCCACTGTTACAAGGATTTCATAAATGTCCCAAATCTGAATGTGTCCAACAATCTTGGACGTAACCCTAACAAGCTTGTTCTCAGAGGAGTCTGTGGCATGTTTTTGTGGAGAGCTGCTGTACCAGAAGGTCTCAGCATAATCAACATGGTGCTGAACTAGATCTGCCCTCCCAAAATGTTTCATACTTTACTGTAACACAGGACTTCTTTGCTGACTACCAAATGGGATAAAGGTGCCAAAATAATCAACAGTGCGTTTGGGTATCATTTAGCCCAAAACAGTGTTGGCTATTGGCTGATTAGGACATTGTCCAGTGTTGGACTTCTCAAATATTTTAGTGATAAACTGCATGTGTAACAACAGCTTTACACTGATTAAATCCCACATGGGAACTAACAAAGAAGCATAAAATGCTCCAGAGACAGCAAATCTTTATAAATAATTTGTTTTAAGACATTAATACAACCTCGAAAATTCACATTGCTTCATGGTAATGACAAGGCAAACCCCTCTTATTACTTTACGTTAACTTCCATCTTAAAATGCCAGCTGTTGCATTCCTTTCTCGTTCTTAATAACAATCCATGGTGAGCACCTGCAGGGAGGAGAAATGAAGCCAAAAGCAACATGTCTTTTGTACAATACACCTCACGGGAAATGCATTCTTAAGTTTTAAAGCTGTAAACTGCCCCACCAATACACAGACATCAGTTATATAAGGATTCATAGACTTCATAAATATTCACCAGCTTAGTAAATGCCTCCGGTTTAGATGCTGTGACTTCAGGCGCTTTGCTCGTGTTTGTTGATAATCGCAAACGCACAAGGTAGAAAAGGGCTCAGGTCTAGTACGGTACCGATTACTCTGTCTCATACTTTGAAGGATTTACCCCTCGGCAGATGATCTGAACCGCTGCCAGTTTAATGTTAGAGAAACAGCTTTTAATTTAATGATGAAGGCGACCACTATGATGGTGTTCCTTCTGAAAAGGATTTCGAGCCTCTGCTGACAAACGAAGATAGCCCACCAGCTTAAACTTCATTCCCCACACAGTCGTTTTTGATACAGCGTTAGTTGGTGTAGATTTCATTTTCCATTCTATCGAGCACGACCGTAACACCTTTGCCTTTGTGCCTTTGTGTTTGGCTTTCTTTTATCTGCTTTTTATGTGATGTTCTTGTTCTTCTCTTGTCTTGTAGAAATCCATGGCTCCAGCCAGTTGTCTTGTTCTGATGAATGAACATCCTCTTCTGAAATATTCCACTTCACGCTCTGTCGCCAAGCACCCTGTTGGTGAGTCTCTGTAGTCCAGCCAGGTTTATCTGTGGACAGTGGCAGAGGTGGATTAAGAAAAACAGGTTTTAAAGCCATAGTTTTAAAGAAGGGGGTTCAACCCCGAGCACGTAATGACACAAACTGTTGTTTTTCAGCACTTTCTAGTTGCTTTGTAGGTGGTGTTTGGCTGTGTGGTGTGTCTTTGTGGTCAATTTTGTGGTGATTCTAGCATATTTTACAGACTAACAGTGTACAGAATAACAAATATCATTATGGGCACTTGTAAGCTTAACCCTTGTGTTGTCCTCGGATTAAAAATGACCCCTAGGCGAATAAAGTGTGAATCATTTCTTAATTGTTGATTTGGTAATTAGGTCTTTCGATCGCATTTATTTTAATCGCTTGGTCGTATCGCAGTTATTTGGAGTTCTTTTTGTTTCCTCTGTGGTTTTTCATCCCTTTCTTGCCATTTTCAATGCTTTTTCGTCATTTTGCACATTTTTGTGGTCATTTTGTATCT